CCCCTGCCCCGCGGGCCGCGCCAGCGGACGGCGCCGTCCCGGGGCGGCGGGCCCTCGCCGAAGTGCAAATCTATATATAAAACTTGCCCGGCCGCGCCCCGCCTCGCTCTTTTTTCGATTTCCTACAATAAAGTTGCCCATTGGACGCGGCGAGCCCCCCGATTCATGCCCCGCTCCTATTGGGAGCCGGCCGGGTGACGTCACCGAGCGGGCGAGGGGGCAGGGCTGCCGGAGCAGTTTGTCACCACCCAGGCGCCCTCGCCTCGGCTGGGTGCAACTTCCATTTTAGGTGTTGCGGCCGAGGGCGGCGAGGCAGCGGGCGCCGGCGGAGCGGGCAGACCGAGGGCGCGGGGAGACCACTGCCGCGGCGCGCGACCCCGGCTCGGCGGCCGCGCCTGGCTGCCCTCCCGGGACTGGCTTTCGGAGTCCGCGTCGAGGTGTTCGCCTGCTTTATTTTGATTCCTTGCTGGGCGCCCAGGCCGGCGACGGCGGCGAAGTGGAGTGGATTTTTGTGTGACGGTAACCGGAGGGGACTTGGAACCGGGAGCGAGTCTGTTTGCTGATGGGTGACTTTCGAGCCATTGTTTTTTTTCCTTTCTACTTTCGATACTCCGGGGGGAATTTTGGCGTTTTATTATTGTACAGGAGAGGTAAAATATTGAAAGAACTTCTCTGTCTAGTACAAGGAGCGGCGCGGAACCGGCAGGGTAGGAGAAGTTGAGTAAACGTACGTGTTGGCGTGCTCTTTGATTTCACGTATTTTTTCTGGATTAAGCTAGCACTTTTGTTTGCACAGCCCAAATCAGAAGTTGGTTTTTCTGGCATGTTGCGTGTGGGCTGGGAAAGGAATTTGTCCGGGTCAGTAGCTCGTTGTACAGATGGCTCCGCAGATGTTCGAGAACTTGTTTTCCTCTTAGCTGGCTTTGTGGAGGTGCGGAGTCCGGCGCGCGGCGCGGCCTCCCCTCCGGGGGTCTGCCCGGCGGAGGCGGCTCGCGCCTCTCAGGTGCGGCGGCGGGGCCGTGCCCGCGCGGCTCAGGGGGAGCGCCGGCCCTGTGCCGCCGAGCGCCGCGTCCGCGCGGGGCCCCTTGCTGCCAGGCGTGTGCACCGTCCCGGGTCGGGCGACGTGCGCTCGCGGACGCGGATTCTGATCGCGCTTGCTTTCTCGCCTGGGGAAGGCGGCGGCACGCTTCAAGGTGTTTCCAGCCCGGGGTCTGAAAGGGCCGAGGGTCGGACGTCAGGCTGGGGGAAGACACACGAACTTCGTGTTTAAAATGCACTTGAGAAGGCACGAGGGGAATTCTTATTTTTAAACCAGCTGGAAAGTTGTTTATTTGGAGGTGCGTTTTTTGTTTGGTTCATGTACCACGAATCATAAATCTGTTAGAGCCGAAGGCGCTGCTGTCGTATCTCACATTTAACCCTGAGTTGTTTGATTTTTGGTTCTGTAAATACACTTTTGCAGAAGTACTGATTCTAGATAATTATATAGCCAACTCATCAGTCGGTGAAAACTAGGGTGTTCTCTTCCTTCTTTGAAAACGCGAATCCATCTGAAAATTACAGCTGGAAGAGACACTGCCCTGGCTGTGACTAGCGAGCCCTCTGTGTGCGCTGCTCGCTGGCTGTGAAGCGGTGTGTATCTTTAGTGATCTTCTGATTTCTGCCCCCCGCCCCTGTCCGACCGGGTCTGTTTCAGCTAGAACACTTCCTTGAGTTTCTCTGGTTAGCTTGAGAGCATTTCTTGAGAGATGATTTCATCCCTGTGAGGTTGTGGCTTCAGGAAGAAGCAGAACTTTGTTTCTTCTTTCGGTGTAACCCAGGCTAGAGCTACAGGCACATTTCGACGTCTGGATCCCGTAATTACAACAAGTCAGTTAAAAGGAAAGCAAGGAGACAGTGTGCTGGGTGCAGTTTTCATTTTTCTCGCATTTCCCTGTGCACGTTCTCTGCCCTGCCCTCGGCCGGGGAGTGTCCCGGTGGGGCTGGAGGGCTGGTCCTGCTGCCGCGGAGTCGCTTCCCACTGCACCTTTAGGGGGAGGGACCGGAGTGTGAAGGAGGAGTACAAAGGCGGTTTGAAAATAGGTTCTGGATGGCTGAGAGGTGGTGATTCGGTCCGGCGGTCGACTCGGGCTTTGTGTAGCTGCCTGGAGCGTCGGAGTTAGCACCAGCTCCGGGACTGAGGCATTGTTTTGACTGGATGTAGAATAGAGCCTTGGGGTGGTAAGATGGGAGATTGGTCTTTTACCCCACCTCCGTCGGTTCTTCCCGAGATTGATGGGAAGGGCTGCCAAGTAAATCTTTTATTTTGTGATGTTTAAATTTTGCTCCTCATTTTGATGTGGGGGTAAAAAATGCTGAAAAGAAAGGTGCGAGTTGTGCAGTTCCCCCTCGCCTGCCTCCTCAGTAATACTGTGGGTTTCTTTGTTACGTGGGTAAGGTAGCGGTCTCTTCAGGTGGCGTCTTCGGGCGGTAGGGTTCCAGCTCCTTTCTGAGGGTTCCACTGTGGGCAGGCAGGAGGGGCGGGAACGGGTTCCTTCAGCTGCCATGAAATCAAGACTGCTGGGGAATTTAAAAACGAAAGCTCTGAGTAATTAATTATCATCTAGTCTGGGTTTATGAAGTAGCTGCTCTCTAGGGATGGTGAGACAGGACGGATGCAAATGAAGTAAGCTTGGATCACTGTCCGTTGCAGTGACAAAATAGTCAGCTCTGTGTAAGTCACTGCTTTGTGTTTTGGACCTGGGGTCTTCCCTTAGTAACCACCTGGCCCTCCTGCCCTTGGCCTCCCCCTCGCGGGTTCTTACTGTGTGCTAAGCATTTTGCATAAACTGTTTAATTCCTGAAAACAACCGTTTTTGAAAGGAATTTGAGACTAAGAGAAGCTGAGGTTTGCTGAAAATCTTACTGTGAATGCTGGAGGCCAGGCTGGCCCCTGGTGACTAACTTCAGAGTCCCGCGGACTTACCTAGGAAATGCACAGACCTTGTTCAGAAGAAATGGAAGTAAGGCTAGAACTAAAATGGACCCTTGCTAGATGTGTTGTATCTCAGGCAGGGTCATAGTCAGATTTCCAGCCGATCCGTTTTCCTTAGTGCCTGTGGGGAGCTGGGTATGCTCAGATGGATGTTATTTTAATCTTTTGAGGGGGATCTTCCCCTGTGGCGCCCCTTTCCCCACTGAACCCAGGGTCTTTGCACAGAGCTACATTCTTAGCCTTTTTTTTTTCTTTTTAAATTTGACTGACTTGCTAAGTACTAAATGGCCCAGGCAGGGCTCAAACTTAGACCTCCTCTTGCCTCAGCCTCCCAGAGTGCTGGGATCACAGGCGTTTGCCACCACACCTGGCTTTTTAATCACACTTCTTTTTTCTTGAGGTGCTGGGGATAGGACCCAGGGCCCGGTGCATGCTGGACGAGTAAGTGCTCTGCCACTGAGCTGTGTGCCCCATCCCTGCTACCCTAATTTCTTCAACTTCCCAGAACTGTTTCACATGTCGTTTGCTTAGCAGCGAAATTTCTTTTTCCAGGGAACTTTCAGGTATTTGCTTTGGAATTGTGTTACCCCTCACTGGAAGAGGCTGGTGGGTGGTAGTTCAAACAGTATAGTGTCAAAAAAAAAAAAAAAAAGTGTCACACTGTGTTGGAATTGTCTGTTTTATTTTTGTCTTCTTTCCCTCCTGACCGAATTGCCTGGGTTGTGGGTACTATCTTGTATCTGTGTCCTTGTAGCGATTAGGTTACCTGAGGCAGTGGACCTGGATCTGTCAGAGACTGGTGCTGCCAGCTTGAAAGGAAGTGGAGATAGAAAGCAACACTACGTAAATTAGTACAATTTCCGTGTAATGTAAAGCTTTTGTGGTCGGCTGTGGCTTCTCCCTATTGTGATTCTCCTTCTTTCCATTCTTAAGCAGAGTTACTAGAACCAGTAGATTAAATTTTAACTTTTCTTCAGTCCTCTTTTCTTTCTTTTTTTTTTTGTCTTTTTGAGATAGGGTCTCTCTGCAGTTCAGGCTGGCCTTGAGCTCACTGTAGCCCAGGCTGGTCTTGAACTCGCAACAATCCTCCTGCCTCAGCCTCCCAAGTGCTGGGATTACAGGCGTGTGCCACCATGCCCAGCCCCTCTTTCCTGTCTTGGCAAGCAGTCCACGGAGAAAGAGTAAGGGTCCTAGACAGTTCCTGTCCTAATGGGCAGCTGCCGGCTGAAAACCTTCGTCTTTAGCCCCTGAAAACCTTCGCCTCTTCATTCCCTAGGGCCAGCACAGGGGGCAGCGGCAAGGGAGGTCTGCTTTCTGTCCTGATTGGAATGAATGGTTTTTGTTAATAAAAGTATAAAGAGCTTGCCTGTAACCCCAGCACTTGGGAGGCTGAGGCGGGAGGATTGTCCTGAGTTTAAGGTCAGCCTGGGCTACATAGAGAGACCCTGTCTCAAAAACGAAACAAAAAACAGAACCAAACACCAAACAAAAACATAAAGAGCTTGAAGTGAGAGTGTTGGACATCAGTAACATCGGTGCTTTAAAGAAAGTATATTATTGAGCTGGGCTATGCTGCATGCCTGTAATCCCAGCGCTTGGGAGGCTGAGGCAGGAGGACTGTTGTGAGTTTGAGAGCCACCTAAACTACAAAGTGAGCTCAAGAGCAGCCTGAACTGCCCAGCAAGACCTGTCTCAAAAAAGACAAAAAAAAAAAGGAAGAAAGGAAGTATATTATTATCATTGCTGTTTTTTCTCCTGTGGTGCTGGGGATTGAACCCAAGGCCTTGTGCCTGCTGGGCACTGCTACTTAGCGCAT